GTTACAAAAATTTAAGCATTTAGCAGTAGCAATTGTATTTAGCTTAATTATGTATTAATCTAGTACTTAGTTCTAGTTTAACTAAGTCCGCTTATAGTTTGAAGTGATTTAACGTTAGTTCGTGTGCTGCAAGTTTAAAGTAACGTTAACTTGCATAAATTTATTCGGCGGTAAGTCAAAGTTAGTTTAACGTTTGACATTCGACATACGGTTTCATACCCATTAAACTCGTATTTCATGTTTTCATCCCAAACCAACTCTGGTATAGGCCTAAGTTACAAATAACTTAAATGTTATGTCCATCTAACGTTAGTGCATGTTCACAAAGTATATCTTGCAAAAGTCCAGACAAACTTGAGACGCGTGTTCTATTTGGTCTGTACATCACTCCTTCCCTGTGTTTTAAATAATGTGATTAACGTTACCTGATTCTGCCATGTCAATAAGTCATATACAGTTCATTAATTATATTAGAGAAGTTGTTTGCAACTCAGCAAATGTCTCTTTGACTCTTAGATTTTGAAGTTGATGCGGGGAAACTGTCAGTGCTGGTCTCACGGATCACATGATAGCACAGCTTTTTGAGAAGTCTTTTAAGAAACAAGTTAAATTTATCAAACTTATCCAACAACTTAAAGAGAACCAGAGTGAAGAACTATCTGAAATTCAGACAACACCTTAGCTGTGAGGCAAGTATTATCATTTGAGGTCTTATTTAATTTATTTATGTTCCCTTATATTTTCTTCTGATGAGCACAAAGGTTGAAAGTCTTTATTTTATTTTATTTTTTTTAACATTGATGTCAATCTTGATAAAGCACAGTAAAACTGCACTTCAAATTGAAGTCTGAAAGATTTGTCACTTTATTGAGTCTCTTCACCCAAAACTCTTGATGCTTCAAAACGTCCAAGAGATCGTAAAATAAGTCAGAATTAATTAAGTAGGTTACTTAGTTAATTCATTTGTTTATTTTAAATCTGGCAATTATTACAAAAAGTGCACAGTGCTGCTAATTTTATTTGTTTTTTGTTGGTTTCGACATACAACTCTTTCAGTGTGTGTGAGTACTTTTTGAACATTTCAGGAAATTTTAACAATGCTGTTCAAATTCCGAGATCATTTTGGTTACTTTAATCGTGATGTGAACATTTCATACTGTTTCATCTCTATTCTGCATCATTCCTCTGTCTAAACAGCCAAGAGCAAAGAAATCCAACCCCATTTCCTCTTGTCTTCTCACTACCAAAATTCCCAAACGATGTTCAGTTAAAATTGGATAATAAAGAACAATAAGATCAGCACTTATCGGCATAAAATTGTACGAGTACTACACGAGAATATGGCTCAACACACACTGTAAGTTTAATAAAAAACACTTTTGTGTTTTAAATTCCAAACCCTGGTAAAAATTTGTTGTAATGTGTGCACTTTTTAAAAAAAATCTTTTGATAGATATCCTTCAAACAGTGTTTGTGCAGTCAAGGCTCTCCAAATACCCTTTCCTGAGAGATGCAGAGGGAAATGGATGCAAGTCAAATGTTTAATATTTATTTTTTTAGTCATTATAGACATTTTGCTTTCTATTAATTATAAACAATATAACAGGAAAAAAAATGCGATGCAATCTGGGAAAACACTTGTTTTGGGATGTCGCACTTGTACGGTTTTAGTAAGGTCTAAAAATAGGTCAAATGTCAGTTTTTTTGTTTTTTTGTTTGTTTGTTTTTTGGGGGGGGGGGGGGGGGTAAAATTGGTTTGCATTAAATTATTCTATTATGGCAAAATTCACTAGTTTAGTGCATAAAAATAGCGATTTATAGTGGCAAGCTGAAAAGACTTTCTCTTTATAGGGTTAGTTCGCCCATTTAAGACATGAAGTTGTATGCAATCCTTACCAGCACTATAGTGCATACACGCTGACCCACTCTGTAGTCACCTGACAGCAGCGCGGATTGATAGAATGGATGAAAAATAGTGCTGATTAAAACTGAGGTATGAATTTTGTCTGGTGTGTTTTTTGTGTGGTAAATTTATCAAGCTTTGAAACGCAAATAATTGTTTCACGTAAAAACGCACAGTTTTGAGGCCGGGAGTACTTTATTGAAAAACTTCCGGCGGCCAGAACTCTGACCAGGGAGGTGACTACAGAGTGAGTGTGTGTGCACTAGTGCTGGTAAGGATTGCATTCAACTTCATGTCTTAAAGGGATAGTTGACTTTGAAATTAGGCTTGTTTGAGATGCGCCTCGCCTCGCCTGCAATGTAGTCGAGAGTAGGCGGCTGCAGTGAGGGGAGGAGTGAAAAAAGCGCAATAAAGCCGGACAGATCTCGGTTCTCGCAGTGAATCAGACATCTGTGAGATCAAAGGCGGATATCGCGGGATTAACGGGATTCACGCTCGTGCACGTGTTGCTAATAAACTGTTGCTTTTATATAAAAATAAATATAATGAACAAGACACCCAAAGTACTTGTTATTTAATTACATTCCAAATATGTGTTTATCAATCTTTTTTTTCTTTAATACAGACGTGTTTTTATATAGGTAGCCTAGCCTATTGTTTTAACAAAAATGAAATATAACCCATATGGCACTGTCAGAGAGTTTATTCACCCATATGTATACACATAAAACATGATATCAGTTTTAAAATCAAACATTTTAAAAGAGAACAATTCATCTGTTGTTCTTTTATTTTTATTTATTTTACCTTTTTATTAGAATGCAAGTTACAAACAGCCTACCTACAAGCACCACAATTCGTGAAACAAATAGGCCTATTATACAGCGACAAATAAATAAACATCAGAATAAAATTAATAATAAAATAACCTAAATAAATAAATCAAAATAAGCTTAGCTTAAATAGACAGACTTAAAAACTTCATCATCTATAAAATGAGAGCTATTTTTCACTTGAACATTTTAGAGTAGGCCTAGTATATTTGAGTTACTGACTATAGCTTTCTTATTTTTAACCCGTTTAAGAGATTCACAATATAGATCAGTTTCAATTTAAAAAAATAAAAAAAATAAAACATGGCCTTGATTTGGAGAATTTAGCTTAATGAATATGGAATTTACCTTCATCACTGTTGTTTAAACCAATGAGCATTAAGCTGTGTCGTCAGCAAGTCGTTTCCCATCATGCTTTTGATCAGCGCAGTCGGTGGAGAGCAACTGCGCGCGACTGCAGAATCCGACCCTTCCGCCTTGCGCTCGCGAGAGTTTTTTGACATACGTCGGCATGACATCAGAGCCAGGCGGACCGTTCTCGGACACATTTCTAACCGGCATGCATCTCGCGCTGATCACCGGTGATCGATTCTGCGCAGAATTTGCTCATCTCAAACAAGCCTATTAATTTGATATGTTTTAGCTTACCTCAAGGGCATCCAAGATGTAGGTGTCTTTGTTTTCCGCAGTATTTTCAATTTTGAGATTTTTAGGTCAAACTGTTCTTGTCTGTCAGTCATATAATGGAGGTATATGGGGTCCACCTCAAAGAGCATGCACAGAGAAGTCCAAATTAAACATGATTTAACAAATCAATCATCTGCTTTATCTATAGATTTTCAGCTGTTTGATCATTAAATATGTATTATAGGCTATTTTTAAAATACGGACAACTAAATTACATTTGTGAGACATTACAAAAATATAAGGCATTGGTGTAAATGTATCTAACAGGGAAGCCATATAGAAAAAAATTACTTTATTGTGATAAATGAAGACTGGATTGGACAGTTTTATTTGGCCATTAGTGGCTTTATTTTGTGTTCATTTGTTGTTGCTGCTGTTTATTAGATTCCACAGAATAACTGTTCACACAAAAGACTGAGTCTCGCTGTATCGCTCAGGCTGCACTGCAGAGTCTATTCAGAGGCGCGATCCCACTACTGATCGACACGGGGACTTTGACCTGCTTCGTCTCCGACCTGGGCCGGTTCACCCCTCCTTAGGCGACCTGGTGGTCCCGGGCTCCCCCAGAAGCACCATATCGATACCGAACTTAGCATGGACACCCGATCGACATAGTCCACTGCAGTCCAGAACCCCTGAGCTCAAGCAATCCACCAGCCTCAGCCTCCCAGTAGCTTGGACTACAGGCGCGCGCCACTGCACCCGGCGAGAGCTGTGAGAATCAGCGCTGCTACTGAATCCAGTGGCTCACAGCGCCCTCTAGTGTATGAAAACAAAATACCAGGGAATGATTAGGCAGGATCTGATGAACTAAAGCATTTTACAATCTCTTTGGTAGCTATATTGTTAAAGGTAAGTAGTACATTGTCTTATTTATGCATTTTTTTTAATTGCTAAATTATTTTTGCACAATACATTTAAATTATAGCTATCTAACCACATGTAGGCCCTAGCCTGAGTTTTTTTTTTATCTACTAGCATATTTATCTTAATCTATTCTAATTGGTTACTTTAAAAATTAAATAAAGTGATCTTAGTTTAACAAATCAATCGTTTGCTTTATATATAGATTTTCAGCAGTTTGATCATTAAATATCTTTAATAGGCTATTTGTAAAATACGGACATCTAAACTACATTTGTGATACATTAAAAAATATAAGCCATTGGTGTAAATGTATCTAACAGGGAAGCCATATAGAAAAAATGTACTTTATTATGATAAATGAAGACTGGATTGGACAGTTTTATTTGGCCATTAAGGGCTTTATTTTATGTTAATTTGTTGTTGCTGTTATTTATTGGATTCCACAGAATAACTGTTCACACAAAAGACTGAGTCTCGCTGTATCGCTCAGGCTGCACTGCAGTATCTATTCACAGGCACGATCCCACTACTGATCGACATGGGGACTTTGACCTGCTTCGTTTCCGACCTGGGCCGGTTCACCCCTCCTTAGGTGACCTGGTGGTCCCGGGCTCCCCCAGAAGCACCATATCGATACCGAACTTAGCGCGGACACCCGATCGACATAATCGGCTGCAGTCCAGAACCCCTGAGCTCAAGCGATCCACCAGCCTCAGCCTCCCAGTCTCTTGGACTACAGGCGCGCGCCACTGCACCCGGCGAGAGCTGTGAGAATCAGCGCTGCTACTGAATCCAGTGGCTCACAGCGCCCTCTAGAGTATGAAAACAAAATACCAGGGAATGATTAGGCAGGATCCGATGAACTAAAGCATTTTACAATCTCTTTGGTAGCTATATTGTTAAAGGTAAGTAGTACATTGTCTTATTTATGCATTTTTTAATTGCTAAATTATTTTTGCACAATGCATTTAAATTATAGCTGTCCTACGCTATCTCACGACCAATTCGTACGAATTCGACGAATGATTAAAAAGTGGCTAATTCGTACTAATTCGTACGACCTCACTCATACGAATTCGTACGATTTGTCTAAACCCACGTGATGGTTAGGTTTAAGGGCGGGGTAAGGGTCAGGTAATTCGTACGAATTCATACGAATTGGGCAATTCGTAAAATATGTACGATTTAGCAAAATCGTACTAATTAGTACGAGTGAGGTCGTAAGAATTCTTACGAATTACCCACTTTTTAATCATTCCTCGAATTCGTACGATTGGTCGTGAGATCGGCTTGAGCTGTCAAACCACATGAAGGCCCTAACCTGAGTTTTTATTTTTTTGTATTTTTTTTTTTTAGAAACTAGCCTATTTCTCTTAATCTATTCTAATTGGTAACTTTAAAAATAAAATGAAGTGATCTTAGCTTAACAAATCAATCATTTGCTTAATCTATAGATTTTCAGCTGTTTGATCATTAAATATGTATTATAGGCTATTTTTAAAATACGGACAACTAAATTACATTTGTGAGACATTACAAAAATATAAGGCATTGGTGTAAATGTATCTCACAGGGAAGCCATATAGAAAAAATGTACTTTATTATGATAAATGAAGACTGGATTGGACAGTTTTATTTGGCCATTAGTGGCTTTATTTTGTGTTCATTTGTTGTTGCTGCTGTTTATTAGATTCCACAGAATAACTGTTCACACAAAAGACTGAGTCTCGCTGTATCGCTCAGGCTGCACTGCAGTATCTATTCACAGGCACGATCCCACTACTGATCGACATGGGGACTTTGACCTGCTTCGTTTCCGACCTGGGCCGGTTCACCCCTCCTTAGGTGACCTGGTGGTCCCGGGCTCCCCCAGAAGCACCATATCGATACCGAACTTAGCATGGACACCCGATCGACATAGTCCACTGCAGTCCAGAACCCCTGAGCTCAAGCAATCCACCAGCCTCAGCCTCCCAGTAGCTTGGACTACAGGAGCGCGCCACTGCACCCAGCGAGAGCTGTGAGAATCAGTGCTGCTACTGAATCCAGTGGCTCACAGCGCCCTCTAGTGTATGAAAACAAAATACCAGGGAATGATTAGGCAGGATCCGATGAACTAAAGCATTTTACAATCTCTTTGGTAGCTATATTGTTAAAGGTAAGTAGTACATTGTCTTATTTATGCATTTTTTAATTGCTAAATTATTTTTGCACAATACATTTAAATTATAGCTATCTAACCACATGTAGGCCCTAGCCTGAGTTTTTTTTTTTTTACTAGCATATTTATCTTAATCTATTCTAATTGGTAACTTTAAAAATTAAATAAAGTGATCTTAGTTTAACAAATCAATCGTTTGCTTTATATATAGATTTTCAGCAGTTTGATCATTAAATATCTTTAATAGGCTATTTGTAAAATACGGACATCTAAACTACATTTGTGATACATTAAAAAATATAAGGCATTGGTGTAAATGTATCTAACAGGGAAGCCATATAGAAAAAATGTACTTTATTATAATAAATGAAGACTGGATTGGACAGTTTTATTTGGCCATTAAGGGCTTTATTTTATGTTCATTTGTTGTTGCTGTTATTTATTAGATTTCACAGAATAACTGTTCACACAAAAGAATGGGTCTCACTGTATCGCTCAGGCAGCACTGCAGTGTCTATTCCCAGGCACGATCCCACTACTGATCGACACGGGGACTTTGACCTGCTTCGTCTCCGACCTGGGCCGGTTCACCCCTCCTTAGGCGACCTGGTGGTCCCGGGCTCCCCCAGGAACACCATATCGATACCGAACTTAGCGCGGACACCCAATCGACATAGTCCACTGCAGTCCAGAACCCCTGAGCTCAAGAGATCCACCAGCCTCAGCCTCCCAGTAGCTTGGACTACAGGCACGCGCCACTGCACCCGGCGAGAGCTGTGAGAATCAGCGCTGCTCCTGAATCCAGTGGCTCACAGCGCCCTCTAGTGTATGAAAACAAAATACCAGGGAATGATTAGGCAGGATCCGATGAACTAAAGCATTTTACAATCTCTTTGGTAGCTATATTGTTAAAGATAAGTAGTACATTGTCTTATTTATGCATTTTTTAATTGCTAAATTATTTTTGCACAACGCATTTAAATTATAGCTGTCCTACGCTATCTCACGACCAATTCGTACGAATTCGACGAATGATTAAAAAGTGGCTAATTCGTACTAATTCGTACAACCTCACTCATACGAATTCGTACGATTTGTCTAAACCCACGTGATGGTTAGGTTTAGGGGCGGGGTAAGGGTCAGGTCATTCGTACGAATTCATACGAATTGGCCAATTCGTAAAATATGTACGATTTAGCAAAATCGTACTAATTCGTACGAGTGAGGTCGTAATAATTCTTACGAATTACCCACTTTTTAATCATTCCTCGAATTCGTACGATTGGTCGTGAGATCGGCTTGAGCTGTCTAACCACATATAGGCCCTAGCCTGAGTTTTTATTTTTTTTATTTTTTTTTAGCAACTAGCCTATTTCTCTTAATCTATTCTAATTGGTCACTTTAAAAATAAAATGAAGTGATCTTACCTTAACAAATCAATCATTTGCTTTATCTATAGATTTTCAGCTGTTTGATCATTAAATATGTATTATAGGCTATTTTTAAAATACGGACAACTAAATTACATTTGTGAGACATTACAAAAATATAAGGCATTGGTGTAAATGTATCTAACAGGGAAGCCATATAGAAAAAATTTACTTTATTATGATAAATGAAGACTGGATTGGAAAGTTTTATTTGGCCATTAGTGGCTTTATTTTGTGTTCATTTGTTGTTGCTGCTGTTTATTAGATTCCACGGAATAACTGTTCACACAAAAGACCGAGTCTCGCTGTATCGCTCAGGCTGCACTGCAGAGTCTATTCACAGGCGCGATCCCACTACTGATCGACACGGGGACTTTGACCTGCTTCGTCTCCGACCTGGGCCGGTTCACCCCTCCTTAGGCGACCTGGTGGTCCCGGGCTCCCCCAGAAGCACCATATCGATACCGAACTTAGCACGGACACCCGATCGACATAGTCCACTGCAGTCCAGAACCCCTGAGCTCAAGCAATCCACCAGCCTCAGCCTCCCAGTAGCTTGGACTACAGGCGCGCGCCACTGCACCCGGCGAGAGCTGTGAGAATCAGTGCTGCTACTGAATCCAGTGGCTCACAGCGCCCTCTAGTGTATGAAAACAAAATACCAGGGAATGATTAGGCAGGATCCGATGAACTAAAGCATTTTACAATCTCTTTGGTAGCTATATTGTTAAAGGTAAGTAGTACATTGTCTTATTTATGCATTTTTTAATTGCTAAATTATTTTTGCACAATACATTTAAATTATAGCTATCTAACCACATGTAGGCCCTAGCCTGAGTTTTTTTTTTTTTTTATCCACTAGCATATTTATCTTAATCTATTCTAATTGGTAACTTTAAAAATTAAATAAAGTGATCTTAGTTTAACAAATCAATCGTTTGCTTTATATATAGATTTTCAGCAGTTTGATCATTAAATATCTTTAATAGGCTATTTGTAAAATACGGACATCTAAACTACATTTGTGATACATTAAAAAATATAAGGCATTGGTGTAAATGTATCTAACAGGGAAGCCATATAGAAAAAATGTACTTTATTATAATAAATGAAGACTGGATTGGACAGTTTTATTTGGCCATTAAGGGCTTTATTTTATGTTCATTTGTTGTTGCTGTTATTTATTAGATTTCACAGAATAACTGTTCACACAAAAGAATGGGTCTCACTGTATCGCTCAGGCAGCACTGCAGTGTCTATTCCCAGGCACGATCCCACTACTGATCGACACGGGGACTTTGACCTGCTTCGTCTCCGACCTGGGCCGGTTCACCCCTCCTTAGGCGACCTGGTGGTCCCGGGCTCCCCCAGGAACACCATATCGATACCGAACTTAGCGCGGACACCCAATCGACATAGTCCACTGCAGTCCAGAACCCCTGAGCTCAAGAGATCCACCAGCCTCAGCCTCCCAGTAGCTTGGACTACAGGCACGCGCCACTGCACCCGGCGAGAGCTGTGAGAATCAGCGCTGCTCCTGAATCCAGTGGCTCACAGCGCCCTCTAGTGTATGAAAACAAAATACCAGGGAATGATTAGGCAGGATCCGATGAACTAAAGCATTTTACAATCTCTTTGGTAGCTATATTGTTAAAGATAAGTAGTACATTGTCTTATTTATGCATTTTTTAATTGCTAAATTATTTTTGCACAACGCATTTAAATTATAGCTGTCCTACGCTATCTCACGACCAATTCGTACGAATTCGACGAATGATTAAAAAGTGGCTAATTCGTACTAATTCGTACAACCTCACTCATACGAATTCGTACGATTTGTCTAAACCCACGTGATGGTTAGGTTTAGGGGCGGGGTAAGGGTCAGGTCATTCGTACGAATTCATACGAATTGGCCAATTCGTAAAATATGTACGATTTAGCAAAATCGTACTAATTCGTACGAGTGAGGTCGTAATAATTCTTACGAATTACCCACTTTTTAATCATTCCTCGAATTCGTACGATTGGTCGTGAGATCGGCTTGAGCTGTCTAACCACATATAGGCCCTAGCCTGAGTTTTTATTTTTTTGTATTTTTTTTTAGCAACTAGCCTATTTCTCTTAATCTATTCTAATTGGTAACTTTAAAAAATAAAATGAAGTGATCTTACCTTAACAAATCAATCATTTGCTTTATCTATAGATTTTCAGCTGTTTGATCATTAAATATGTATTATAGGCTATTTTTAAAATACGGACAACTAAATTACATTTGTGAGACATTACAAAAATATAAGGCATTGGTGTAAATGTATCTAACAGGGAAGCCATATAGAAAAAATTTACTTTATTATGATAAATGAAGACTGGATTGGAAAGTTTTATTTGGCCATTAGTGGCTTTATTTTGTGTTCATTTGTTGTTGCTGCTGTTTATTAGATTCCACAGAATAACTGTTCACACAAAAGACTGAGTCTCGCTGTATCGCTCAGGCTGCACTGCAGTATCTATTCACAGGCACGATCCCACTACTGATCGACATGGGGACTTTGACCTGCTTCGTTTCCGACCTGGGCCGGTTCACCCCTCCTTAGGTGACCTGGTGGTCCCGGGCTCCCCCAGAAGCACCATATCGATACCGAACTTAGCATGGACACCCGATCGACATAGTCCACTGCAGTCCAGAACCCCTGAGCTCAAGCAATCCACCAGCCTCAGCCTCCCAGTAGCTTGGACTACAGGCGCGCGCCACTGCACCCGGCGAGAGCTGTGAGAATCAGTGCTGCTACTGAATCCAGTGGCTCACAGCGCCCTCTAGTGTATGAAAACAAAATACCAGGGAATGATTAGGCAGGATCCGATGAACTAAAGCATTTTACAATCTCTTTGGTAGCTATATTGTTAAAGGTAAGTAGTACATTGTCTTATTTATGCATTTTTTAATTGCTAAATTATTTTTGCACAATACATTTAAATTATAGCTATCTAACCACATGTAGGCCCTAGCCTGAGTTTTTTTTATTTTTATCCACTAGCATATTTATCTTAATCTATTCTAATTGGTAACTTTAAAAATTAAATAAAGTGATCTTAGTTTAACAAATCAATCGTTTGCTTTATATATAGATTTTCAGCAGTTTGATCATTAAATATCTTTAATAGGCTATTTGTAAAATACGGACATCTAAACTACATTTGTGATACATTAAAAAATATAAGCCATTGGTGTAAATGTATCTAACAGGGAAGCCATATAGAAAAAATGTACTTTATTATAATAAATGAAGACTGGATTGGACAGTTTTATTTGGCCATTAAGGGCTTTATTTTATGTTCATTTGTTGTTGCTGTTATTTATTAGATTTTACAGAATAACTGTTCACACAAAAGAATGGGTCTCACTGTATCGCTCAGGCAGCACTGCAGTGTCTATTCCCAGGCACGATCCCACTACTGATCGACACGGGGACTTTGACCTGCTTCGTCTCCGACCTGGGCCGGTTCACCCCTCCTTAGGCGACCTGGTGGTCCCGGGCTCCCCCAGGAACACCATATCGATACCGAACTTAGCGCGGACACCCAATCGACATAGTCCACTGCAGTCCAGAACCCCTGAGCTCAAGAGATCCACCAGCCTCAGCCTCCCAGTAGCTTGGACTACAGGCACGCGCCACTGCACCCGGCGAGAGCTGTGAGAATCAGCGCTGCTCCTGAATCCAGTGGCTCACAGCGCCCTCTAGTGTATGAAAACAAAATACCAGGGAATGATTAGGCAGGATCCGATGAACTAAAGCATTTTACAATCTCTTTGGTAGCTATATTGTTAAAGATAAGTAGTACATTGTCTTATTTATGCATTTTTTAATTGCTAAATTATTTTTGCACAACGCATTTAAATTATAGCTGTCCTACGCTATCTCACGACCAATTCGTACGAATTCGACGAATGATTAAAAAGTGGCTAATTCGTACTAATTCGTACAACCTCACTCATACGAATTCGTACGATTTGTCTAAACCCACGTGATGGTTAGGTTTAGGGGCGGGGTAAGGGTCAGGTCATTCGTACGAATTCATACGAATTGGCCAATTCGTAAAATATGTACGATTTAGCAAAATCGTACTAATTCGTACGAGTGAGGTCGTAAGAATTCTTACGAATTACCCACTTTTTAATCATTCCTCGAATTCGTACGATTGGTCGTGAGATCGGCTTGAGCTGTCTAACCACATATAGGCCCTAGCCTGAGTTTTTATTTTTTTTTAGCAACTAGCCTATTTCTCTTAATCTATTCTAATTGGTCACTTTAAAAATAAAATGAAGTGATCTTACCTTAACAAATCAATCATTTGCTTTATCTATAGATTTTCAGCTGTTTGATCATTAAATATGTATTATAGGCTATTTTTAAAATACGGACAACTAAATTACATTTGTGAGACATTACAAAAATATAAGGCATTGGTGTAAATGTATCTCACAGGGAAGCCATATAGAAAAAATTTACTTTATTATGATAAATGAAGACTGGATTGGAAAGTTTTATTTGGCCATTAGTGGCTTTATTTTGTGTTCATTTGTTGTTGCTGCTGTTTATTAGATTCCACGGAATAACTGTTCACACAAAAGACCGAGTCTCGCTGTATCGCTCAGGCTGCACTGCAGAGTCTATTCACAGGCGCGATCCCACTACTGATCGACACGGGGACTTTGACCTGCTTCGTCTCCGACCTGGGCCGGTTCACCCCTCCTTAGGCGACCTGGTGGTCCCGGGCTCCCCCAGAAGCACCATATCGATACCGAACTTAGCATGGACACCCGATCGACATAGTCCACTGCAGTCCAGAACCCCTGAGCTCAAGCAATCCACCAGCCTCAGCCTCCCAGTAGCTTGGACTACAGGAGCGCGCCACTGCACCCAGCGAGAGCTGTGAGAATCAGTGCTGCTACTGAATCCAGTGGCTCACAGCGCCCTCTAGTGTATGAAAACAAAATACCAGGGAATGATTAGGCAGGATCCGATGAACTAAAGCATTTTACAATCTCTTTGGTAGCTATATTGTTAAAGGTAAGTAGTACATTGTCTTATTTATGCATTTTTTAATTGCTAAATTATTTTTGCACAATACATTTAAATTATAGCTATCTAACCACATGTAGGCCCTAGCCTGAGTTTTTTTTATTTTTATCCACTAGCATATTTATCTTAATCTATTCTAATTGGTAACTTTAAAAATTAAATAAAGTGATCTTAGTTTAACAAATCAATCGTTTGCTTTATATATAGATTTTCAGCAGTTTGATCATTAAATATCTTTAATAGGCTATTTGTAAAATACGGACATCTAAACTACATTTGTGATACATTAAAAAATATAAGGCATTGGTGTAAATGTATCTAACAGGGAAGCCATATAGAAAAAATGTACTTTATTATAATAAATGAAGACTGGATTGGACAGTTTTATTTGGCCATTAAGGGCTTTATTTTATGTTCATTTGTTGTTGCTGTTATTTATTAGATTTCACAGAATAACTGTTCACACAAAAGAATGGGTCTCACTGTATCGCTCAGGCAGCACTGCAGTGTCTATTCCCAGGCACGATCCCACTACTGATCGACACGGGGACTTTGACCTGCTTCGTCTCCGACCTGGGCCGGTTCACCCCTCCTTAGGCGACCTGGTGGTCCCGGGCTCCCCCAGGAACACCATATCGATACCGAACTTAGCGCGGACACCCAATCGACATAGTCCACTGCAGTCCAGAACCCCTGAGCTCAAGAGATCCACCAGCCTCAGCCTCCCAGTAGCTTGGACTACAGGCACGCGCCACTGCACCCGGCGAGAGCTGTGAGAATCAGCGCTGCTCCTGAATCCAGTGGCTCACAGCGCCCTCTAGTGTATGAAAACAAAATACCAGGGAATGATTAGGCAGGATCCGATGAACTAAAGCATTTTACAATCTCTTTGGTAGCTATATTGTTAAAGATAAGTAGTACATTGTCTTATTTATGCATTTTTTAATTGCTAAATTATTTTTGCACAACGCATTTAAATTATAGCTGTCCTACGCTATCTCACGACCAATTCGTACGAATTCGACGAATGATTAAAAAGTGGCTAATTCGTACTAATTCGTACAACCTCACTCATACGAATTCGTACGATTTGTCTAAACCCACGTGATGGTTAGGTTTAGGGGCGGGGTAAGGGTCAGGTCATTCGTACGAATTCATACGAATTGGCCAATTCGTAAAATATGTACGATTTAGCAAAATCGTACTAATTCGTACGAGTGAGGTCGTAATAATTCTTACGAATTACCCACTTTTTAATCATTCCTCGAATTCGTACGATTGGTCGTGAGATCGGCTTGAGCTGTCTAACCACATATAGGCCCTAGCCTGAGTTTTTATTTTTTTTTTTTTTTTAGCAACTAGCCTATTTCTCTTAATCTATTCTAATTGGTAACTTTAAAAAATAAAATGAAGTGATCTTACCTTAACAAATCAATCATTTGCTTTATCTATAGATTTTCAGCTGTTTGATCATTAAATATGTATTATAGGCTATTTTTAAAATACGGACAACTAAATTACATTTGTGAGACATTACAAAAATATAAGGCATTGGTGTAAATGTATCTAACAGGGAAGCCATATAGAAAAAATTTACTTTATTATGATAAATGAAGACTGGATTGGAAAGTTTTATTTGGCCATTAGTGGCTTTATTTTGTGTTCATTTGTTGTTGCTGCTGTTTATTAGATTCCACGGAATAACTGTTCACACAAAAGACCGAGTCTCGCTGTATCGCTCAGGCTGCACTGCAGAGTCTATTCACAGGCGCGATCCCACTACTGATCGACACGGGGACTTTGACCTGCTTCGTCTCCGACCTGGGCCGGTTCACCCCTCCTTAGGCGACCTGGTGGTCCCGGGCTCCCCCAGAAGCACCATATCGATACCGAACTTAGCACGGACACCCGATCGACATAGTCCATTGCAGTCCAGAACCCCTGAGCTCAAGCAATCCATCAGCCTCAGCCTCCCAGTAGCTTGGACTACAGGCACGCGCCACTGCACCCGGCGAGAGCTGTGAGAATCAGCGCTGCTCCTGAATCCAGTGGCTCACAGCGCCCTCTAGTGTATGAAAACAAAATACCAGGGAATGATTAGGCAGGATCTGATGAACTAAAGCATTTTACAATCTCTTTGGTAGCTATATTGTTAAAGGTAAGTAGTACATTGTCTTATTTATGCATTTTTTAATTGCTAAATTATTTTTGCACAATACATTTAAATTATAGCTATCTAACCACATGTAGGCCCTAGCCTGAGTTTTTTTTATTTTTATCCACTAGCATATTTATCTTAATCTATTCTAATTGGTAACTTTAAAAATTAAATAAAGTGATCTTAGTTTAACAAATCAATCGTTTGCTTTATATATAGATTTTCAGCAGTTTGATCATTAAATATCTTTAATAGGCTATTTGTAAAATACGGACATCTAAACTACATTTGTGATACATTAAAAAATATAAGGCATTGGTGTAAATGTATCTAACAGGGAAGCCATATAGAAAAAATGTACTTTATTATAATAAATGAAGACTGGATTGGACAGTTTTATTTGGCCATTAAGGGCTTTATTTTATGTTCATTTGTTGTTGCTGTTATTTATTAGATTTCACAGAATAACTGTTCACACAAAAGAATGGGTCTCACTGTATCGCTCAGGCAGCACTGCAGTGTCTATTCCCAGGCACGATCCCACTACTGATCGACACGGGGACTTTGACCTGCTTCGTCTCCGACCTGGGCCGGTTCACCCCTCCTTAGGCGACCTGGTGGTCCCGGGCTCCCCCAGGAACACCATATCGATACCGAACTTAGCGCGGACACCCAATCGACATAGTCCACTGCAGTCCAGAACCCCTGAGCTCAAGCAATCCACCAGCCTCAGCCTCCCAGTAGCTTGGACTACAGGCGCGCGCCACTGCACCCGGCGAGAGCTGTGAGAATCAGCGCTGCTACTGAATCCAGTGGCTCACAGCGCCCTCTAGTGTATGAAAACAAAATACCAGGGAATGATTAGGCAGGATCCGATGAACTAAAGCATTTTACAATCTCTTTGGTAGCTATATTGTTAAAGATAAGTAGTACATTGTCTTATTTATGCATTTTTTAATTGCTAAATTATTTTTGCACAACGCATTTAAATTATAGCTGTCCTACGCTATCTCACGACCAATTCGTACGAATTCGACGAATGATTAAAAAGTGGCTAATTCGTACTAATTCGTACAACCTCACTCATACGAATTCGTACGATTTGTACAAACCCACGTGATGGTTAGGTTTAGGGGCGGGGTAAGGGTCAGGTCATTCGTACGAATTCATACGAATTGGCCAATTCGTAAAATATGTACGATTTAGCAAAATCGTACTAATTCGTACGAGTGACGTCGTAATAATTCTTACGAATTACCCACTTTTTAATCATTCCTCGAATTCGTACGATTGGTCGTGAGATCGGCTTGAGCTGTCTAACCACATATAGGCCCTAGCCTGAGTTTTTATTTTTTTGTATTTTTTTTAGCAACTAGCCTATTTCTCTTAATCTATTCTAATTGGTAACTTTAAAAATAAAATGAAGTGATCTTACCTTAACAAATCAATCATTTGCTTTATCTATAGATTTTCAGCTATTTGATCATTAAATATGTATTATAGGCTATTTTTAAAATACGGACAACTAAATTACATTTGTGAGACATTACAAAAATATAAGGCATTGGTGTAAATGTATCTCACAGGGAAGCCATATAGAAAAAATTTACTTTATTATGATAAATGAAGACTGGATTGGAAGGTTTTATTTGGCCATTAGTGGCTTTATTTTGTGTTCATTTGTTGTTGCTGCTGTTTATTAGATTCCACAGAATAACTGTTCACACAAAAGACCGAGTCTCGCTGTATCGCTCAGGCTGCACTGCAGAGTCTATTCACAGGCGCGATCCCACTACTGATCGACACGGGGACTTTGACCTGCTTCGTCTCCGACCTGGGCCGGTTCACCCCTCCTTAGGCGACCTGGTGGTCCCGGGCTCCCCCAGGAACACCATATCGATACCGAACTTAGCGCGGACATCCAATCGACATAGTCCACTGCAGTCCAGAACCCCTGAGCTCAAGAGATCCACCAGCCTCAGCCTCCCAGTAGCTTGTACTACAGGCACGCGCCACTGCACCCGGCGAGAGCTGTGAGAATCAGCGCTGCTCCTGAATCCAGTGGCTCACAGCGCCCTCTAGTGTATGAAAACAAAATACCAGGGAATGATTAGGCAGGATCCGATGAACTAAAGCATTTTACAATCTCTTTGGTAGCTATATTGTTAAAGGTAAGTAGTACATTGTCTTATTTATGCATTTTTTAATTGCTAAATTATTTTTGCACAACGCATTTAAATTATAGCTGTCCTACGCTATCTCACGACCAATTCGTACGAATTCGACGAATGATTAAAAAGTGGCTAATTCGTACTAATTCGTACAACCTCACTCATACGAATTCGTACGATTTGTCTAAACCCACGTGATGGTTAGGTTTAGGGGCGGGGTAAGGGTCAGGTCATTCGTACGAATTCATACGAATTGGCCAATTCGTAAAATATGTACGATTTAGCAAAATCGTACTAATTCGTACGAGTGAGGTCGTAAGAATTCTTACGAATTACCCACTTTTTAATCATTCCTCGAATTCGTACGATTGGTCGTGAGATCGGCTTGAGCTGTCTAACCACATATAGGCCCTAGCCTGAGTTTTTATTTTTTTGTATTTTTTTTAGCAACTAGCCTATTTCTCTTAATCTATTCTAATTGGTAACTTTAAAAATAAAATGAAGTGATCTTACCTTAACAAATCAATCATTTGCTTTATCTATAGATTTTCAGCTGTTTGATCATTAAATATGTATTATAGGCTATTTTTAAAATACGGACAACTAAATTACATTTGTGAGACATTACAAAAATATAAGGCATTGGTGTAAATGTATCTCACAGGGAAGCCATATAGAAAAAATTTACTTTATTATGATAAATGAAGACTGGATTGGAAAGTTTTATTTGGCCATTAGTGGCTTTATTTTGTGTTCATTTGTTGTTGCTGCTGTTTATTAGATTCCACGGAATAACTGTTCACACAAAAGACCGAGTCTCGCTGTATCGCTCAGGCTGCACTGCAGAGTCTATTCACAGGCGCGATCCCACTACTGATCGACACGGGGACTTTGACCTGCTTCGTCTCCGACCTGGGCCGGTTCACCCCTCCTTAGGCGACCTGGTGGTCCCGGGCTCCCCCAGAAGCACCATATCGATACCGAACTTAGCACGGACACCCGATCGACATAGTCCACTGCAGTCCAGAACCCCTGAGCTCAAGCAATCCACCAGCCTCAGCCTCCCAGTAGCTTGGACTACAGGCGCGCGCCACTGCACCCGGCGAGAGCTGTGAGAATCAGTGCTGCTACTGAATCCAGTGGCTCACAGCGCCCTCTAGTGTATGAAAACAAAATACCAGGGAATGATTAGGCAGGATCCGATGAACTAAAGCATTTTACAATCTCTTTGGTAGCTATATTGTTAAAGGTAAGTAGTACATTGTCTTATTTATGCATTTTTTAATTGCTAAATTATTTTTGCACAATACATTTAAATTATAGCTATCTAACCACATGTAGGCCCTAGCCTGAGTTTTTTTTATTTTTATCCACTAGCATATTTATCTTAATCTATTCTAATTGGTAACTTTAAAAATTAAATAAAGTGATCTTAGTTTAACAAATCAATCGTTTGCTTTATATATAGATTTTCAGCAGTTTGATCATTAAATATCTTTAATAGGCTATTTGTAAAATACGGACATCTAAACTACATTTGTGATACATTAAAAAATATAAGGCATTGGTGTAAATGTATCTAACAGGGAAGCCATATAGAAAAAATGTACTTTATTATAATAAATGAAGACTGGATTGGACAGTTTTATTTGGCCATTAAGGGCTTTATTTTATGTTCATTTGTTGTTGCTGTTATTTATTAGATTTTACAGAATAACTGTTCACACAAAAGAATGGGTCTCACTGTATCGCTCAGGCAGCACTGCAGTGTCTATTCCCAGGCACGATCCCACTACTGATCGACACGGGGACTTTGACCTGCTTCGTCTCCGACCTGGGCCGGTTCACCCCTCCTTAGGCGACCTGGTGGTCCCGGGCTCCCCCAGGAACACCATATCGATACCGAACTTAGCGCGGACACCCAATCGACATAGTCCACTGCAGTCCAGAACCCCTGAGCTCAAGAGATCCACCAGCCTCAGCCTCCCAGTAGCTTGGACTACAGGCACGCGCCACTGCACCCGGCGAGAGCTGTGAGAATCAGCGCTGCTCCTGAATTCAGTGGATCACAGCGCCCTCTAGTGTATGAAAACAAAATACCAGGGAATGATTAGGCAGGATCCGATGAACTAAAGCATTTTACAATCTCTTTGGTAGCTATATTGTTAAAGGTAAGTAGTACATTGTCTTATTTATGCATTTTTTAATTGCTAAATTATTTTTGCACAATACATTTAAATTATAGCTATCTAACCACATGTAGGCCCTAGCCTGAGTTTTTTTTTTTTATCCACTAGCATATTTATCTTAATCTATTCTAATTGGTAACTTTAAAAATTAAATAAAGTGATCTTAGTTTAACAAATCAATCGTTTGCTTTATATATAGATTTTCAGCAGTTTGATCATTAAATATCTTTAATAGGCTATTTGTAAAATACGGACATCTAAACTACATTTGTGATACATTAAAAAATATAAGGCATTGGTGTAAATGTATCTAACAGGGAAGCCATATAGAAAAAATGTACTTTATTATAATAAATGAAGACTGGATTGGACAGTTTTATTTGGCCATTAAGGGCTTTATTTTATGTTCATTTGTTGTTGCTGTTATTTATTAGATTTCACAGAATAACTGTTCACACAAAAGAATGGGTCTCACTGTATCGCTCAGGCAGCACTGCAGTGTCTATTCCCAGGCACGATCCCACTACTGATCGACACGGGGACTTTGACCTGCTTCGTCTCCGACCTGGGCCGGTTCACCCCTCCTTAGGCGACCTGGTGGTCCCGGGCTCCCCCAGAAGCACCATATCGATACCGAACTTAGCACGGACACCCGATCGACATAGTCCACTGCAGTCCAGAACCCCTGAGCTCAAGCAATCCACCAGCCTCAGCCTCCCAGTAGCTTGGACTACAGGCGCGCGCCACTGCACCCGGCGAGAGCTGTGAGAATCAGTGCTGCTACTGAATCCAGTGGCTCACAGCGCCCTCTAGTGTATGAAAACAAAATACCAGGGAATGATTAGGCAGGATCCGATGAACTAAAGCATTTTACAATCTCTTTGGTAGCTATATTGTTAAAGATAAGTAGTACATTGTCTTATTTATGCATTTTTTAATTGCTAAATTATTTTTGCACAACGCATTTAAATTATAGCTGTCCTACGCTATCTCACGACCAATTCGTACGAATTCGACGAATGATTAAAAAGTGGCTAATTCGTACTAATTCGTACAACCTCACTCATACGAATTCGTACGATTTGTCTAAACCCACGTGATGGTTAGGTTTAGGGGCGGGGTAAGGGTCAGGTCATTCGTACGAATTCATACGAATTGGCCAATTCGTAAAATATGTACGATTTAGCAAAATCGTACTAATTCGTACGAGTGAGGTCGTAAGAATTCTTACGAATTACCCACTTTTTAATCATTCCTCGAATTCGTACGATTGGTCGTGAGATCGGCTTGAGCTGTCTAACCACATATAGGCCCTAGCCTGAGTTTTTATTTTTTTGTATTTTTTTTTAGCAACTAGCCTATTTCTCTTAATCTATTCTAATTGGTAACTTTAAAAATAAAATGAAGTGATCTTACCTTAACAAATCAATCATTTGCTTTATCTATAGATTTTCAGCTGTTTGATCATTAAATATGTATTATAGGCTATTTTTAAAATACGGACAACTAAATTACATTTGTGAGACATTACAAAAATATAAGGCATTGGTGTAAATGTATCTAACAGGGAAGCCATATAGAAAAATTTACTTTATTATGATAAATGAAGACTGGATTGGAAAGTTTTATTTGGCCATTAGTGGCTTTATTTTGTGTTCATTTGTTGTTGCTGCTGTTTATTAGATTCCACGGAATAACTGTTCACACAAAAGACCGAGTCTCGCTGTATCGCTCAGGCTGCACTGCAGAGTCTATTCACAGGCGCGATCCCACTACTGATCGACACGGGGACTTTGACCTGCTTCGTCTCCGACCTGGGCCGGTTCACCCTCCTTAGGCGACCTGGTTGTCCCGGGCTCCCCCAGAAGCACCATATCGATACCGAACTTAGCACGGACACCCGATCGACATAGTCCACTGCAGTCCAGAACCCCTGAGCTCAAGCAATCCACCAGCCTCAGCCTCCCAGTAGCTTGGACTACAGGCGCGCGCCACTGCACCCGGCGAGAGCTGTGAGAATCAGTGCTGCTACTGAATCCAGTGGCTCACAGCGCCCTCTAGTGTATGAAAACAAAATACCAGGGAATGATTAGGCAGGATCCGATGAACTAAAGCATTTTACAATCTCTTTGGTAGCTATATTGTTAAAGGTAAGTAGTACATTGTCTTATTTATGCATTTTTTAATTGCTAAATTATTTTTGCACAATATATTTAAATTATAGCTATCTAACCACATGTAGGCCCTAGCCTGAGTTTTTTTTTTTTATCCACTAGCATATTTATCTTAATCTATTCTAATTGGTAACTTTAAAAATTAAATAAAGTGATCTTAGTTTAACAAATCAATCGTTTGCTTTATATATAGATTTTCAGCAGTTTGATCATTAAATATCTTTAAAGGGTTAGTTCACCCAAAAATGAAAATTAAGTCATTAATTACTCACCCCCATGCTGTACCAACCCCGTAAGACCTTCGTTCGTCTTCGGAACACAAATGAAGATATTTTTGATTAAATTTGAGAGCTGTATAACTACCACATTGGCTCCTAAGGGACTGCCTCTTGACGGCCCAGAAAGTCAATGAAGAAAATGTTTAAATATCCAAGTGACTACCGTGGCTCAACTAATGTTTATCAAGTGACGCGAATACTTTTGTGCGAAAAAACAAACAAAATAACGAGTTATTCGACTATTTCTTTTCTTCCTTGTAGGCCAGAACGAGAACTTCCTTATAGATTTCCAGACGCATGCCATGCGCAGAAATTGCGACCTGCTTACACCAGCACTACTTCAGATCGCAATTCTCGCGCATGCGTCGTGGAAATCTATAAGGAAGTCTCGTTCTGCCTACAAGAAGAAAAAGAAATAGTCGAATAAACTCATTATTTTTTGTTTGTTTTTTCGCACAAAAAGTATTCGCGTCGCTTGATAAACATATAGTTGAGCCACGGTAGTCAACTGGGATATTAAACATTTTCTTCATTGACTTTTTGGGCCGTCAAGAGGCAGTCCCTTAGGAGCCAATGTGGTAGTATACAGCTCTCAATTTATCAAAATATCTTAATTTGTGTTCCGAAGACGAACGAAGGTCTTACGGGGTTGGTACAGCATGGGGGTGAGTAATTAATGACTTAATTTTCATTTTTGGGTGAACTAACCCTTTAATAGGCTATTTGTAAAATACGGACATCTAAACTACATTTGTGATACATTAAAAAATATAAGGCATTGGTGTAAATGTATCTAACAGGGAAGCCATATAGAAAAAATGTACTTTATTATAATAAATGAAGACTGGATTGGACAGTTTTATTTGGCCATTAAGGGCTTTATTTTATGTTCATTTGTTGTTGCTGTTATTTATTAGATTTCACAGAATAACTGTTCACACAAAAGAATGGGTCTCACTGTATCGCTCAGGCAGCACTGCAGTGTCTATTCACAGGCACGATCCCACTAATGATCGACACGGGGACTTTGACCTGCTTCGTCTCCGACCTGGGCCGGTTCACCCCTCCTTAGGCGACCTGGTGGTCCCGGGCTCCCCCAGGAATTCCATATCGATACCAAACTTAGCGCGGACACCCAATCGACATAGTCCACTGCAGTCCAGAACCCCTGAGCTCAAGAGATCCACCAGCCTCAGCCTCCCAGTAGCTTGGACTACAGGCACGCGCCACTGCACCCGGCGAGAGCTGTGAGAATCAGCGCTGCTCCTGAATCCAGTGGCTCACAGCGCCCTCTAGTGTATGAAAACAAAATACCAGGGAATGATTAGGCAGGATCCGATGAACTAAAGCATTTTACAATCTCTTTGGTAGCTATATTGTTAAAGATAAGTAGTACATTGTCTTATTTATGCATTTTTTAATTGCTAAATTATTTTTGCACAACGCATTTAAATTATAGCTGTCCTACGCTATCTCACGACCAATTCGTACGAATTCGACGAATGATTAAAAAGTGGCTAATTCGTACTAATTCGTACAACCTCACTCATACGAATTCGTACGATTTGTACAAACCCACGTGATGGTTAGGTTTAGGGGCGGGGTAAGGGTCAGGTCATTCGTACGAATTCATACGAATTGGCCAATTCGTAAAATATGTACGATTTAGCAAAATCGTACTAATTCGTACGAGTGACGTCGTAAGAATTCTTACGAATTACCCACTTTTTAATCATTCCTCGAATTCGTACGATTGGTCGTGAGATCGGCTTGAGCTGTCTAACCACATATAGGCCCTAGCCTGAGTTTTTATTTTTTTGTATTTTTTTTTAGCAACTAGCCTATTTCTCTTAATCTATTCTAATTGGTAACTTTAAAAATAAAATGAAGTGATCTTACCTTAACAAATCAATCATTTGCTTTATCTATAGATTTTCAGCTATTTGATCATTAAATATGTATTATAGGCTATTTTTAAAATACGGACAACTAAATTACATTTGTGAGACATTACAAAAATATAAGGCATTGGTGTAAATGTATCTCACAGGGAAGCCATATAGAAAAAATTTACTTTATTATGATAAATGAAGACTGGATTGGAAGGTTTTATTTGGCCATTAGTGGCTTTATTTTGTGTTCATTTGTTGTTGCTGCTGTTTATTAGATTCCACAGAATAACTGTTCACACAAAAGACCGAGTCTCGCTGTATCGCTCAGGCTGCACTGCAGAGTCTATTCACAGGCGCGATCCCACTACTGATCGACACGGGGACTTTGACCTGCTTCGTCTCCGACCTGGGCCGGTTCACCCCTCCTTAGGCGACCTGGTGGTCCCGGGCTCCCCCAGAAGCACCATATCGATACCGAACTTAGCACGGACACCCGATCGACATAGTCCATTGCAGTCCAGAACCCCTGAGCTCAAGCAATCCATCAGCCTCAGCCTCCCAGTAGCTTGGACTACAGGCGCGCGCCACTGCACCCGGCGAGAGCTGTGAGAATCAGCGCTGCTACTGAATCCAGTGGCTCACAGCGCCCTCTAGTGTATGAAAACAAAATACCAGGGAATGATTAGGCAGGATCTGATGAACTAAAGCATTTTACAATCTCTTTGGTAGCTATATTGTTAAAGGTAAGTAGTACATTGTCTTATTTATGCATTTTTTAATTGCTAAATTATTTTTGCACAATACATTTAAATTATAGCTATCTAACCACATGTAGGCCCTAGCCTGAGTTTTTTTTTTATCCACTAGCATATTTATCTTAATCTATTCTAATTGGTAACTTTAAAAATTAAATAAAGTGATCTTAGTTTAACAAATCAATCGTTTGCTTTATATATAGATTTTCAGCAGTTTGATCATTAAATATCTTTAATAGGCTATTTGTAAAATACGGACATCTAAACTACATTTGTGATACATTAAAAAATATAAGGCATTGGTGTAAATGTATCTAACAGGGAAGCCATATAGAAAAAATGTACTTTATTATAATAAATGAAGACTGGATTGGACAGTTTTATTTGGCCATTAAGGGCTTTATTTTATGTTCATTTGTTGTTGCTGTTATTTATTAGATTTCACAGAATAACTGTTCACACAAAAGAATGGGTCTCACTGTATCGCTCAGGCAGCACTGCAGTGTCTATTCACAGGCACGATCCCACTACTGATCGACACGGGGATTTTGACCTGCTTCGTCTCCGACCTGGGCCGGTTCACCCCTCCTTAGGCGACCTGGTGGTCCCGGGCTCCCCCAGGAACACCATATCGATACCGAACTTAGCGCGGACATCCAATCGACATAGTCCACTGCAGTCCAGAACCCCTGAGCTCAAGAGATCCACCAGCCTCAGCCTCCCAGTAGCTTGTACTACAGGCACGCGCCACTGCACCCGGCGAGAGCTGTGAGAATCAGCGCTGCTCCTGAATCCAGTGGCTCACAGCGCCCTCTAGTGTATGAAAACAAAATACCAGGGAATGATTAGGCAGGATCCGATGAACTAAAGCATTTTACAATCTCTTTGGTAGCTATATTGTTAAAGGTAAGTAGTACATTGTCTTATTTATGCATTTTTTAATTGCTAAATTATTTTTGCACAATACATTTAAATAGCTATCTAACCACATGTAGGCCCTAGCCTGAGTTTTTTTTTTTTATCCACTAGCATATTTATCTTAATCTATTCTAATTGGTAACTTTAAAAATTAAATAAAGTGATCTTAGTTTAACAAATCAATCGTTTGCTTTATATATAGATTTTCAGCAGTTTGATCATTAAATATCTTTAATAGGCTATTTGTAAAATACGGACATCTAAACTACATTTGTGATACATTAAAAAATATAAGGCATTGGTGTAAATGTATCTAACAGGGAAGCCATATAGAAAAAATGTACTTTATTATAATAAATGAAGACTGGATTGGACAGTTTTATTTGGCCATTAAGGGCTTTATTTTATGTTCATTTGTTGTTGCTGTTATTTATTAGATTTCACAGAATAACTGTTCACACAAAAGAATGGGTCTCACTGTATCGCTCAGGCAGCACTGCAGTGTCTATTCCCAGGCACGATCCCACTACTGATCGACACGGGGACTTTGACCTGCTTCGTCTCCGACCTGGGCCGGTTCACCCCTCCTTAGGCGACCTGGTGGTCCCGGGCTCCCCCAGAAGCACCATATCGATACCGAACTTAGCACGGACACCCGATCGACATAGTCCATTGCAGTCCAGAACCCCTGAGCTCAAGCAATCCATCAGCCTCAGCCTCCCAGTAGCTTGGACTACAGGCACGCGCCACTGCACCCGGCGAGAGCTGTGAGAATCAGCGCTGCTCCTGAATTCAGTGGATCACAGCGCCCTCTAGTGTATGAAAACAAAATACCAGGGAATGATTAGGCAGGATCCGATGAACTAAAGCATTTTACAATCTCTTTGGTAGCTATATTGTTAAAGATAAGTAGTACATTGTCTTATTTATGCATTTTTTAATTGCTAAATTATTTTTGCACAACGCATTTAAATTATAGCTGTCCTACGCTATCTCACGACCAATTCGTACGAATTCGACGAATGATTAAAAAGTGGCTAATTCGTACTAATTCGTACAACCTCACTCATACGAATTCGTACGATTTGTCTAAACCCACGTGATGGTTAGGTTTAGGGGCGGGGTAAGGGTCAGGTCATTCGTACGAATTCATACGAATTGGCCAATTCGTAAAATATGTACGATTTAGCAAAATCGTACTAATTCGTACGAGTGAGGTCGTAAGAATTCTTACGAATTACCCACTTTTTAATCATTCCTCGAATTCGTACGATTGGTCGTGAGATCGGCTTGAGCTGTCTAACCACATATAGGCCCTAGCCTGAGTTTTTATTTTTTTGTATTTTTTTTTAGCAACTAGCCTATTTCTCTTAATCTATTCTAATTGGTAACTTTAAAAATAAAATGAAGTGATCTTACCTTAACAAATCAATCATTTGCTTTATCTATAGATTTTCAGCTGTTTGATCATTAAATATGTATTATAGGCTATTTTTAAAATACGGACAACTAAATTACATTTGTGAGACATTACAAAAATATAAGGCATTGGTGTAAATGTATCTCACAGGGAAGCCATATAGAAAAAAATTACTTTATTATGATAAATGAAGACTGGATTGGAAAGTTTTATTTGGCCATTAGTGGCTTTATTTTGTGTTCATTTGTTGTTGCTGCTGTTTATTAGATTCCACAGAATAACTGTTCACACAAAAGACCGAGTCTCGCTGTATCGCTCAGGCTGCACTGCAGAGTCTATTCACAGGCGCGATCCCACTACTGATCGACACGGGGACTTTGACCTGCTTCGTCTCCGACCTGGGCCGGTTCACCCCTCCTTAGGCGACCTGGTGGTCCCGGGCTCCCCCAGGAACACCATATCGATACCGAACTTAGCGCGGACACCCAATCGACATAGTCCACTGCAGTCCAGAACCCCTGAGCTCAAGCAATCCACCAGCCTCAGCCTCCCAGTAGCTTGGACTACAGGCGCGCGCCACTGCACCCGGCGAGAGCTGTGAGAATCAGTGCTGCTACTGAATCCAGTGGCTCACAGCGCCCTCTAGTGTATGAAAACAAAATACCAGGGAATGATTAGGCAGGATCCGATGAACTAAAGCATTTTACAATCTCTTTGGTAGCTATATTGTTAAAGGTAAGTAGTACATTGTCTTATTTATGCATTTTTTAATTGCTAAATTATTTTTGCACAATACATTTAAATTATAGCTATCTAACCACATGTAGGCCCTAGCCTGAGTTTTTTTTTTTTTTTATCCACTAGCATATTTATCTTAATCTATTCTAATTGGTAACTTTAAAAATTAAATAAAGTGATCTTAGTTTAACAAATCAATCGTTTGCTTTATATATAGATTTTCAGCAGTTTGATCATTAAATATCTTTAATAGGCTATTTGTAAAATACGGACATCTAAACTACATTTGTGATACATTAAAAAATATAAGGCATTGGTGTAAATGTATCTAACAGGGAAGCCATATAGAAAAAATGTACTTTATTATAATAAATGAAGACTGGATTGGACAGTTTTATTTGGCCATTAAGGGCTTTATTTTATGTTCATTTGTTGTTGCTATTTATTAGATTTCACAGAATAACTGTTCACACAAAAGAATGGGTCTCACTGTATCGCTCAGGCAGCACTGCAGTGTCTATTCCCAGGCACGATCCCACTACTGATCGACACGGGGACTTTGACCTGCTTCGTCTCCGACCTGGGCCGGTTCACCCCTCCTTAGGCGACCTGGTGGTCCCGGGCTCCCCCAGAAGCACCATATCGATACCGAACTTAGCACGGACACCCGATCGACATAGTCCACTGCAGTCCAGAACCCCTGAGCTCAAGCAATCCACCAGCCTCAGCCTCCCAGTAGCTTGGACTACAGGCGCGCGCCACTGCACCCGGCGAGAGCTGTGAGAATCAGTGCTGCTACTGAATCCAGTGGCTCACAGCGCCCTCTAGTGTATGAAAACAAAATACCAGGGAATGATTAGGCAGGATCCGATGAACTAAAGCATTTTACAATCTCTTTGGTAGCTATATTGTTAAAGATAAGTAGTACATTGTCTTATTTATGCATTTTTTAATTGCTAAATTATTTTTGCACAACGCATTTAAATTATAGCTGTCCTACGCTATCTCACGACCAATTCGTACGAATTCGACGAATGATTAAAAAGTGGCTAATTCGTACTAATTCGTACAACCTCACTCATACGAATTCGTACGATTTGTCTAAACCCACGTGATGGTTAGGTTTAGGGGCGGGGTAAGGGTCAGGTCATTCGTACGAATTCATACGAATTGGCCAATTCGTAAAATATGTACGATTTAGCAAAATCGTACTAATTCGTACGAGTGAGGTCGTAAGAATTCTTACGAATTACCCACTTTTTAATCATTCCTCGAATTCGTACGATTGGTCGTGAGATCGGCTTGAGCTGTCTAACCACATATAGGCCCTAGCCTGAGTTTTTATTTTTTTGTATTTTTTTTTAGCAACTAGCCTATTTCTCTTAATCTATTCTAATTGGTAACTTTAAAAATAAAATGAAGTGATCTTACCTTAACAAATCAATCATTTGCTTTATCTATAGATTTTCAGCTGTTTGATCATTAAATATGTATTATAGGCTATTTTTAAAATACGGACAACTAAATTACATTTGTGAGACATTACAAAAATATAAGGCATTGGTGTAAATGTATCTAACAGGGAAGCCATATAGAAAAAAATTATTTTATTATGATAAATGAAGACTGGATTGGAAAGTTTTATTTGGCCATTAGTGGCTTTATTTTGTGTTCATTTGTTGTTGCTGCTGTTTATTAGATTCCACAGAATAACTGTTCACACAAAAGACCGAGTCTCGCTGTATCGCTCAGGCTGCACTGCAGAGTCTATTCACAGGCGCGATCCCACTACTGATCGTCACGGGGACTTTGACCTGCTTCGTCTCCGACCTGGGCCGGTTCACCCCTCCTTAGGCGACCTGGTGGTCCCGGGCTCCCCCAGAAGCACCATATCGATACCGAACTTAGCACGGACACCCGATCGACATAGTCCACTGCAGTCCAGAACCCCTGAGCTCAAGCAATCCACCAGCCTCAGCCTCCCAGTAGCTTGGACTACAGGCGCGCGCCACTGCACCCGGCGAGAGCTGTGAGAATCAGTGCTGCTACTGAATCCAGTGGCTCACAGCGCCCTCTAGTGTATGAAAACAAAATACCAGGGAATGATTAGGCAGGATCCGATGAACTAAAGCATTTTACAATCTCTTTGGTAGCTATATTGTTAAAGGTAAGTAGTACATTGTCTTATTTATGCATTTTTTAATTGCTAAATTATTTTTGCACAATACATTTAAATTATAGCTATCTAACCACATGTAGGCCCTAGCCTGAGTTTTTTTTTTTTTTTATCCACTAGCATATTTATCTTAATCTATTCTAATTGGTAACTTTAAAAATTAAATAAAGTGATCTTAGTTTAACAAATCAATCGTTTGCTTTATATATAGATTTTCAGCAGTTTGATCATTAAATATCTTTAATAGGCTATTTGTAAAATACGGACATCTAAACTACATTTGTGATACATTAAAAAATATAAGGCATTGGTGTAAATGTATCTAACAGGGAAGCCATATAGAAAAAATGTACTTTATTATAATAAATGAAGACTGGATTGGACAGTTTTATTTGGCCATTAAGGGCTTTATTTTATGTTCATTTGTTGTTGCTGTTATTTATTAGATTTCACAGAATAACTGTTCACACAAAAGAATGGGTCTCACTGTATCGCTCAGGCAGCACTGCAGTGTCTATTCCCAGGCACGATCCCACTACTGATCGACACGGGGACTTTGACCTGCTTCGTCTCCGACCTGGGCCGGTTCACCCCTCCTTAGGCGACCTGGTGGTCCCGGGCTCCCCCAGGAACACCATATCGATACCGAACTTAGCGCGGACACCCAATCGACATAGTCCACTGCAGTCCAGAACCCCTGAGCTCAAGCAATCCACCAGCCTCAGCCTCCCAGTAGCTTGGACTACAGGCGCGCGCCACTGCACCCGGCGAGAGCTGTGAGAATCAGCGCTGCTACTGAATCCAGTGGCTCACAGCGCCCTCTAGTGTATGAAAACAAAATACCAGGGAATGATTAGGCAGGATCCGATGAACTAAAGCATTTTACAATCTCTTTGGTAGCTATATTGTTAAAGGTAAGTAGTACATTGTCTTATTTATGCATTTTTTAATTGCTAAATTATTTTTGCACAACGCATTTAAATTATAGCTGTCCTACGCTATCTCACGACCAATTCGTACGAATTCGACGAATGATTAAAAAGTGGCTAATTCGTACAACCTCACTCATACGAATTCGTACGATTTGTCTAAACCCACTTGATGGTTAGGTTTAGGGGCGGGGTAAGGGTCAGGTCATTCGTACGAATTCATACGAATTGGCCAATTCGTAAAATATGTACGATTTAGCAAAATCGTACTAATTCGTACGAGTGAGGTCGTAAGAATTCTTACGAATTACCCACTTTTTAATCATTCCTCGAATTCGTACGATTGGTCGTGTAGGAGCCATTTATACCTTCACCTTTTGTGGATAGGTTAATATTGCTATTACTTACTCTAGCCACTTGGTGGGAGTGTTGCACTGGGTGTGACATCACTGGGAATTAAGTATATTTACAGCCAGGTGTGGTAATCAGTTAGGTATGGTGTGGATGGTGAGGAACACACGGTTCTTACCGTAGCCGTGAGCACCCACTTTACCAACAGCACGACAGCACTTTAATATTTAGCACTGGGTGAAGTACCATTTTTAATGTAAATTATTCCCTCCTTTGTATCTCAATAATAAACGGGAACACCACCCAAAGAGAGCAAATGTTTGGACCTTTGGATTTTTCAGCTACGCGTTGAGAACACCATGCCATCTATACCAGGCTTATAGGATAGCCTCAACACAGTAAGAACCGATTCCTTCCTGCTTTGGATACGCTTCTGA